AAAGTGCTGTGTGTACAGGTAACACACCTTTATCCAAAGCATACAAACTTTCTCCGTAACTATGCCGTCTTTAGGAAAGACCACCAAGATGCTCTTCCAACATCTCGTGGTGTTGCAATTTTAATAGACAGAAACGTAGCATGCTCGCACTTTCCTTTCCGAACAGCGCTGGAGCAAGTGGCCGGTTGAGCTGTAATTGCGAACTCATGACCATCTACTCATTATACATACCAACACACTATCAGCTACACAAACACGAACTTCAATCCTTTATATATGAGTTACCTGAACCTTACCTTGTTCTAGGCGATTGAAATGCTCACTCTAGCTTGTGGGGCGAATCTCACACCGATGCGCGAAGGCGCCTTACTGAGAATTTTCTTTTCTCCACAGGCACTTGTCTGCTGAACAAGGAATAACCTACGTTTTATAGCCTCACGAACAACAAATACTTATCCATAGATCGCAGTATCAATTTTTCATCTGTCTTTTGTGATTTGAACTGGGACATGCTTAGAAATGTTTATGGGAGTCACCACTTTTCAATACTTGTGAAATCGCATCGATCAAGTGAATGTTCACCCCGGGCTCCTCGGTGGAAACTTGAAAAAAGAAATTGGGAGGAATTTGACAAAGTGGCAAATATTTCTTGTGCAGACATGGCTTCTTTCAATACTGACAGTGCTGTTCAGTATTTTATGGCTTTTTCTAATTAAAGCTGCCTCGCAGTGCATACCGGAAACAGTCAAGGTGACAAGAAAACGCCGTGTCTCCTGGTGGAACGACGAGTGCCGAGAGGGACGAAAGAAACGAAATAAAGCATGGGGACTGTTGCGTGACTCCCGTACAGCCGAAAATCTTGAAGTGTTTAAGCAAGCAAAATCTCAAATTAGGAGCACGTGCCGACAGGCTAGGATGAAAGCTGGCAGAAGGTTCTGTCAACGCTAAACTCCTATACCGACGAAAGGAGAGCCTGAAACTGCGTTAATAGAATAAGAGGGCAACAAACATTTTCCCTTACTTTAGTGAACGTACAGGGTAACACCCTGCAAGGCCAAGCAAACTCCCTCGGTCAGTATTTCGAGCTTGCTTCTAGCTCATGGCACTATTTTGAAACATTTAGAAGATACAAAGCAAGAATTGACAGGCCCAAAATTTCAGCGTCAATTCACAACACACTAACCATACCACAGACCATTCTGCCTTGCAGAACTGCAGGCGTCGCTGAATTGCTGCAACAAGTCAGTGCCCGGCTACGACCGTGCAATGTACGAAATGTTAAACTACTTACTGTATGAAACACAAAAAACCCTTGTTGGCCTTTATAACGCTATATGGTTCTCCGGCGAGATGCCCTTAGCTTGGAAAGAAGCTATTGTTATTCCAATTCTGAAACAGGGCAAGGACCCATCTGTCGTTTCGAGTTATAGGCCTATAGCCTTGACAAGTTATCTGTGTAAGGTATTAGAAAACATGATCAACAGGCGTCTGCTACACTTTCTAGAATCGAAGAATCTTCTCGATCTATACCAGTGTGAATTTCGAGAGGGCCGATCTACAACTGATCATTTTATACGTATTGACAGTGCAATTTGCAATGCATTCATTCACAAACAGTTCTTTCTCTCAGTATTTCTTGACATGGAGAAGGCCTATGATACAACATGGTGGTTTGGAATACTGAGAGACCTTTCACACTTAAGCGTTTGGGGTGGAATGTTCAGCATCATAGAGAGATACCTGTCAAACCGCACATTTTGTGTTCAAGTGGAAAATATTTTGTCACGTCTGTTTGTCCAAGAAACAGGTATACCACAGGGTGGTGTGCTTAGCTGTACTCTTCTTATTTTAAAAATGAATTCTTTGCGTCTTCCCACCCCGCGTAACATGTTCTACTGCACGTATGTAGATGACATAGAGATAGGTTTTAAGTCCAGCAATCTGCCAATATGTGAGTGGCAGGTACAGCTTGGCTTGAACAAGGTGTCTCAATGGGCAGGTAAAAATGGCTTCAGGTTAAACCCTGAAAAAAGCAAATGGGTCCTCTTTTCTAGAAGGGGAGACCTCCACCCAAATGTCGCAATCAACCTGCATGGCCAACAACTACGAGTAGAAGCTAAGTACAAATCTTTAGGCCTGATTCTAGATTCAAAAATAACACTTGTGCCACACATAAAACATGTGAAAAACAAGTTCTTGAAAACTATGAACCTCTTAAAACTACTTTCTCGCTGTACGTGGGGTAGTGACAAAAATTGCCTGTTAAACCCGTACAAGACCCTTATTTGCCAACGTCTATACTACGGTGCCATAACGTATCAGTCCGCCTCATCAACTGTCCTAAAGGTGCTGGATCCTGTTCACTATTTTGGCATTCGCCTCTTTATCCACAGGTGCCTGTATGTGAAATCTGATGAATGACCACTTCATTTACAGAGAGCATACCTGTCATTTATGTATATTTAAACGTTTGTGCAAATAATTAACACCTCACACACCCTACCATAAATCACCTGTCCAGCTCCACTCACTTTCATAACCATCCTAGAGTGAGACAGCCGTACTCACTGCGTGTAAGATGCTTGACACGGGAAAGGGGCATCCACTTCAGCTCAACCTGATGCCTCCCGCAAAGGAGTTTTCACCATGGCAGTGGCAGACTATCAATTGTGATCTCTCCTTCGTACAGGTTACTAAACACGCACCACTCGCACACATTCGCACGTACTTTCTTGAATTACAGCACAAATATCGCTACCCTGAATACCTCACTGATGCTTCGAAATCGTACACCGCAGTGTCTTATGGGGTGGTTGGCCCATTCTTTTCGAATGCTGGCGTTTTGCACCCCCCTACAAGTATTTTCACTGCAGAAGCATATGCCATATATTCTGCCATTAAGTACATGAGGCAATTAAAATTACACAATTCAGTTATATACACAGATTCATTGATTGTCGTGAAAGCATTGAAAACCTTTAAGAACCACAAAAAACCTGGTATTGTACCGCTCTATTCCCTGCTGTCTACAACTTACGCTCTTAAACAGCATATTGTACTCTGCTGGGTGCCAGGACACTGTGAGATAAGAGCAAATGTATTGGCTGACAGTCTGGCGGCATCTGTCCACGAGAGTGGTGCCAATGACTCAGTGTTTGTCCTTACGTTGGACCTCAACTCTTTTTTAAAGCAATTATCAAGGACACAGTGGCAGCTCTTGTGGGATAGACAAACAAAAATAAATTGCGGCTTATCAAGCCGCGTCTTTGCACCTGGTTACCATTGTCGAAGTCTCGCTACACTGAAGTCACACTTTGTAGAAGGAGAATAGGGCACATATAAAGTATATGCACGCTCAACTACTGTAGGGTGGTGACCCATCCATGTGTGAAAAATGCAGTGTACCATTTACTATGCTTCACGTTCTCCTTCAATCCACTCATCTTGAATCCATCAGTGAAAAGCACTTTCATCTTATCGTCAACGTCTTCCACTTCATCCTGCCATGTTTTTAGGCAGTGAACCTCTTTTTAATTATGATTCACTACTCCGTTTTCTTAGAGATATGTAATTTTAGCATTATATATTCAGGCAAATGCAGCACGGCCTCTTTATTGAGACTGCTCCTGCAGTGGTGTATTGAAAAAAAAAATCAAGTGCATTCAGCTCTTTGGAAACTAAGGACTACAAGAGGCACGCATGCTATTATTCACCACTTTTTACCTTTCGCCACAATGATAACTCATAGCCCATGAAACACCCATCACTTTATGCGTGATGAAAATATTCTATATATACATTTTGTACACTAATCTCACCTCGCTCTCACGATTTTAATATGTACATTTTACCCGCCTCTAGTGCGTGTATATTTGAGGCCCTTATACAACCGCGTACCATATTCATTGTTGATATCTTCTTGCCTCATTACCTGGCGCTCATTGACCATCAAGTGGCCCTTGCGCCAAAAAACACCATATATCATCGTCATCATCATCATCATCAACAACCCACACAAGAGGTATACTTTTACTGCGCTACCCTTCGGGTGCCGGTAAGATCGGTACATGCTGCGTATACCTCTTATTTATCGTTGTAAGCGGAGCCATCCTTGACTTGTGAAACACACTTCACAACGACGAGGACTACGCTATTTACGCTTAACAGAGATTCACGATAAACGATGTCTCCTCCAACCAGGCGGGTGGCCGCAATGATGCGTTTTCGAAGACTAGCTCATTCAATCGTGCGACGAGAGGCGGTTGCTCCAAACGGTCACTCTGTCGTTTAGACCCACCGCTGTGGTCTAGTGGCTAAAGTACTCGGCTGCTCACGTGCAGGTCGCGGGATTGAATACCGGCTATTGCGGCTGCATTTTTGTTGGAGGCGAAAGTGCTGTACGCTCATGTGCTCAGATTTGGGTGGATGTTGAAGAACCCTAGGTGATCAAAATTTCCGGAGCCCTACAGTACGGCGTCTATACTAATTATTTAGTGGTTTTGGGAGGTCAAACCCCACGTACCAATCAATCAAATAACTGTCGTCCACTGTAATTTACTGCGATTATTTCACTTTCACTTACTCTCTTCACAAGCTTACGCATGGGGAGAGGGGTGTGTGGCGTCACCTGACTTTGATATACATGTACTCATTCTCCTCAAACTACCGCCAATAGTCACGTCACAGAGCAAAGCTGATGCCTGTGTCCCCCCCCCCCTTGTCGGGTCAGTGTCAACCCCTCACGAAAATAGTTTCTGACTACGCCCCCAATAGCTTGTTAAGTTGCTGAGAAGTCGGCCTTTCTGGTTTCATATGAGCGTTTAGTTTTCATTGTAATTTTTCAGATGAGCACTCATGCTCCCATGAATGTGCAGGTGGCAGTCAACAACGCGTTTGCAAGCAAGGCATGTGAATAAAGTGACACATACGCGCTCTCAGCGTAAAGGTCAGTTTCAGGTATTCGTTTCCTGAACTCAATGAATAAAGCAGGCTTTGAAAGAGAATTGGTTCGCTTTCTTGTTTATTGTCAGCATATTTGCATTGCAAACGCACTCTTGGAACTCTTAGCTGAAAGTGGAGGATAATGTTAAGTTTATACGTTCATGTAAAGAAATTGTGCAACACTCCAGGTATATCAGGTGTCGCCTCCACTCTGTGCACGTGCGTTCACTCGAGTACGTTTGCTGTCGCAGTCCCCCTTGCGTCAACGAAGCACGCAGATACACGTAACCCTGAACCTGCCGCCGCAGTAACCAGCCCGGCGCCCAAAACTGCGGCAGTGGTTATGGCATGCACGTGCCCTGAACGGGCAACCAAACCCCCATCGTCCTGTAAAAGTATGAAAAAAAGAATACAGACAGACTTTAACTTAATGGAAAAGCAAAGCAGCAATAACAAGGTTTTGTGACTTTAGTACAAAACTTGTATAGATAGTAGCCTGAACTCAAATTTTATTCTTTTAAGTGAGAATCGTCACATCCTTCAGGTATCCATGACGTAAACAGGTAAGTGAGAAACGAGGGAAATCTATGCACGGCCTTTTTCACGGAGGTTGAAAGACTTGGTTGCATGGGCATGGCTATTTGGTGACTGTGGACAAAGTGCATTAAGCAATACTACGCCATACCATCGCAAAAAACTTACAAAATATGTAACAAGTGAGTCTCTAGTGTTGATGCTCGTGTTTGTTGTCCAAGAGGAAAGATGCTCAAGCACAAAACGTTGTATGATTTACTCTTACTCAATATGGTGAAACCAAAGCACCGCTTTTTTCAAGTTATTATTCCAGGTATGCCCGAGACCAGTAAACATACCTTGGCAACTCTTCACTTGCTGTTTACATTATTTATTTTTCAAGATACTCAAATTGCATTTTTTTTTCAAATTCACATACGTTGCCAACCCTTTTTTTTGTTTAGTAGTTGCAAAAAGTCGTAGAAATAAATGCAATTGTTTTGTTGCTTTTGTATTTGTTATCGCGGTCCATAAATTATATATACTTACGAACTCTTAAGTGAGCTACTTCACTCTTCTCGTTGTTGAGTGAAGCGGTGACAAGAATGCCTGCAAAAAAGTTCATTGTGAATATATCTTTTATAGGGGTACTGAAAAAATCTTCGGCAAATTAAAATACTTTTTTATGAAAAGTGGCATTTATTACGTCACACTTACTAGACAAGAATGGTATCGCTCCCCTCAAATTATTTTCGGGCTCTCATCTTTCCTACAATCTAGTTGTAAGAGTCGATAACGGCTATTGCGAAAATCTAAACGTGACTGCCAGTGAACAGGAAGTACGGCACCAAAATCGATTTTATGGACCTTCAACGACACGACGGTTTTATGTATGTAATTCCATCAGAATTGAATAAATGCTCTATATATTTTTAGCACGTCTTGCTACTGGAGTCAAGGAAGATAATGCAGGGTTTTGCTGACAGTTAGCATAACGAAGTCCGAAATAATGAAAGTGTCGTTTTTATAAAACGGCACGAAGGAAAAACGAAAAGCAATAATTATTTAAAATTGCAGTGATTGTTATTTCATTTTAACACATTAATCGCTGTCATCAGTGTTAACCAGTGCAACGGAGCTGAGTGCGCAAATAATTTGACTAAGATATTTGTATATAGAGTACATGGAACCGTATAAATAAAACGCATAAAAAATTGTTACCATAATTTACTTCGCAAGAGCTTGCAGCCGATAGCTTTAATATAAAAATTACGTTCGTAAAAATTATCAGCTCGTAACAAAAAAGACTTATGAACGAAGCTGTTAGCGAATTCAAATCCTGGTGCCTTATTTTAAAAACTATTGTATAACTGCTATAATTGATTGATGTAAAGGCGATGACTCAAATCAAGTACACGCTGAGTTTTTGGTCACTTGGAGTGCCGAATAATGAGGAAGCACTTTCACGTAAGAGTAGACTCGCAGGTGTGGGGCCAGGTGACCAATGTACTCTAACCACCCGCCACGGATAGTGGTCTAGTAGCTAATGCACTCGGCTGCTGACCCGCAGCTCTTTGAATCACGTGTGTAAAGCCAAAATCACACGTACGCTCTGAGTGCGCTGGCTAAGCGCCCATGGTACGCGATCGGGAGGCTGCGCTTGCGCTGACAGAGCAAGCGCGGCTAAACGCTCGCCGTACGCGAGTGTTTGCAGTGATCTGATATAGAACCTGAAGTAACGCGCGTACGAAGGCATTCGGAGCTTCGTGAGTACGCTACTGTGGCGTGGATGTTACCGGCACGGACTTGGCCAGTAGGCAGTAGCCGAATCCACAAGTCGACTTTAGTACCAAAAGCAAATCCTGTCTTCCAAAACATCTGGAGGCATCCCAGTTGCCGCTTTTTTTTCGAACGCGCTTGCTCTCTCAGCAACGGCAACACAACACATTAGGTCATGGCAGAAGCAGCAGCAGAAATGCGGCAATCGATAACGAACTCCTTATATCTGCAGTGAAGTCCCGGCAGCCTTTGTGGCTTGCCAGGTACATCGGTTCAAAAACACAGGCCACACCCACCAACACTGGTGCTGCTGAAGTCATCGTTGCTCGCCTCTTTTTCCTAACAACACAAATATATGTGTCATCTTGAGCAGCATTAAGATCTTTGCGCGGTTGGAGAGCACAGGCATGATGTTGACGCAAAGGCTGGCAAAGCACTATAAACCGCGTGAAAGCGAAAAAAGTGTGAAAAGCAGACACCAACTCAGCTAGCATGCCGATGCCGCTGCGGCTGCCGAGCACAACAATATTATACGCCCGGTAAAAACTTTCACTCTTTATTTACTTTTGCATGCATCTAACAATAAATAGGTGAAGAAAAAGAGGTTTTGTAAGTATTATGATGAATTATCAGTAATGTTTTTGAAACAATCTCTATCCGTATGAGTACGCTTGCGATCACGGGTACCTTCGCGCGTATGTGGGTGGAAACCACCATTCCTCGCGTGATGCGTCCATGGTACGCGCGCAAACGCGCTTCTGCTCGCGCTCTGGGAGCGTTCACGCGTTTCGGGCTTAACGCGATACGTATATGCGTCCATACGAACGCAGTGCAACGCGTTTCCTTTGCTGCAAATGTTGTAGCGATGCCAAGTACACTCTCAAAACTGAAACTTTAGCAGTAAGAGTTAAATAGCTCTGTTGCTCTGCCCCGCCCTGGTGGTCTGGTGGTAAGGGGCTCAGCTGTTTACTGGCAGGTCGCGGGAAACAATTGCGGCCGCAGCAGTCGCATTTTCGATGGAGGCGAAAACGCTTGAGGCCCATGTGCTTAGATTAAGGTGCACGTTAAAAAACTTTAGGTAGTTGAAATTACCGGAGCTCTCCACTACGGAATCTCTCATATTCATAAGGTGGTTTCGGAACAATAAACTCTGACAAATAATATTAATGTATATCAACCATCATTCGCGCACGCTCATGTTGCGACCGGATTCAAATTGCCCATAAGATCCTTTTTTTTATCCAGAACTGAAACTTGTGCTTGAGCCCAGCGTCCCTATCACTGTCGGCGCACGTTAAGCTACGTTTACTAGCTGCTTTTGCCACACTTGAGAATTTTTCGTCACCATATTGATCCCAAGCACGGTTAAAAGGTGCCCGTACTGAGAAAGTAACTATATATATCGACAGTATACGGATATCTGAAGCCTATTCAGCAAAGCTGCACGCTCATTCCTCGATCTTGGTGAAAGTAATGACTTCTCGTACTATTGTGCAAGACCCAGCATGTTGACAAAATTGAAAAACAGTGACTACAAGATGACGCTGGAAGAGGAGCAAGCTCGGAAGGTGTCGCGTATGGTCATGTTGCAGTTGTTATATTACAGTTGACAAGCTCAAAATCTCATGCAATTGAACATACGCGCATTTTTTAACATTGTTTGGGTACAAAATGTTGCCCTTCTCTCTCACTACACTTTATTTTATATGTTGATTTGGTTATTTCGTCTGTATTACCATTTCTCACATTCTCTACCGCTGCGCGTGAAGTGAGGTTTACCTGATAATGCCACCAGCCGACAACTGACAGCAAGAAGATTAATTGGGTAACACAGTGTTTAGCCATGGAAATGTTCTTTCTCAATTACACAGTGTGATCTGAGAACAGAAAAAAATGTCGAAAGGAGGCATTCCATATAAAAGACTCCGCGTTATATTCGTCCAGTCACAATTCTCCACGAGATAACCCGTTCTCAACTTTGTTTTAAGTACCTGTGTTACACATTGCGACCTATTGGTCCATGTCAGCACACTTGTGCTGGAGCCAGCGGTTTAGTGCTTTAAATTTTTTTATTCTAAAGATGAAAGCCTGCATTGTTGCGATCCCAATGACAGGCGCTATAAACACCCCGCGACCAGCCACATTCGGAAGCGCTACGAAAGATTGTTTCTGAAACGCCATAATACATTTAGGTCTCTCAATTACATTTTGTTCAAAGCTACAGAATAAAGTTTGCGCCCTTACCAGACATCAGCGCCAAAATCAGAAAAGTGGTAAGCAGCTTCATGTCTTCTTTTTAGATGGAGAAACCTGCAAAGCGAAAGAAAAAAGGCAGAAAGAAAAAAAGAAAAAAAGGAATGAAGGAAAGAAGGAAGAAAAGTGCGATTAGAAAAGAGTTGTTGCATACGTTTTCTGAGGGATATACAAATTGACACTAACTTCCTTAGTCACTTCTGCATACACCATAATCCCGCAGACGGAGACGAAAAACCATAGAATACAGTACATCACGATATACGTGGTGTTAGAACCCGGAATCGACCAGGATCCCACTACTCGTATCCGTTGTTGAGGTGTTGGGAATTTGCCGTCACTGACACCAGCGACTCGGGAGGAATACGCCGAGCATGAAGAGACTGATGAGAAAAACTGTACAGAAGTTTTTTGTACATTATATACAAGCAAGCATTTCTCGCCACAAGATAGACATCTAGACGAAGATATCGTCCTACATCGTGACAATCTCAGTTAAAGCCAGACGAACATAACGTGTCCACTCGGCTCCCGGGGGCTGATTCTAGAGGCCCTTTTCCCCTCTTCCTTTGATTGAAAAAAGACTTCATTTTTTGTCCAACCACCATACAAAAATCGCTTTCGACGGTGCCGCCCAGCCCCGCCGCGGTGGTCTAGTGGCTAAGGTACTCGGCTGCTGACCCGCAGGTCGCGGGTTCAAATCCCGGCTGCGGCGGCTGCATTTCCGATGGAGGCGGAAATGTCGTAGGCCCGTGTGCTCAGATTTGGGTGCACGTTAAAGAACCCCAGGTGGTCAAAATTTCCGGAGTCCTCCACTACGGCGTCTCTCATAATCATATGGTGGTTTTGGGACGTTAAACCCCACAAATCAATCAATCAATCAATCGACGGTGCCGCCCACACCCGCCCTGGCAACGTCTTTCACCAGGCCATAGCAACCACACTAGCCTGCTGGCGCCATGTTGTCTCTTCTTTGGGGTGAGAATGCCGCTGGGCGCTGGGTCACATATTCGCACTGCCGGGAGCATGAAAGAAAACAGCCGCTCGCCCCGTACAATTAGTGGGGCTGGTTGCCATTTGCAGGGATGTCTCTCTCGTTAAGGATGATAGTACGGCCGGGACCCATTGCAGTAGTATTTGTCGAACCCCTTTCCGCATCGTGCTGCCCGCACTTCCCCTGTGAATGGTCGGAAGGACAGTACTCATTTTTGAATAGTCATCAGCAGGCTCGCGCTCTCCAGCGTCATTTTCGCAGAAAAACGGGACACCGTTTTTTTTTTGACTCGGGCACCGATCCTCAAAGCGGGGACAAGATGTATTCGACTTCCGCCATTGAGCTAGTGCTGCAGGTTGTATAAACTATCATCTCATAAATACAGCATTCACCTAAGTGTTTCGCCAAGGTGGTATTTTTAATTACCCTGACATTCGTATTTCAAATGAGAATAACCTAAGGTTCCTTCAGGTACAATTACCTTTGGCTATGGTTTATGGGGCTAATTTATATGTCGCATTGAAGAATAAACTTTTGATTACTTTTCACTTTATTGTTTTATTCAATAAGTAAAAACTGTGAGTTATGACACTGCGACAAAAAGGCTAAATTCTACAGCTGTTGTTTTTACTATTTGCCAACTTAGTATTAGAATGCACCTGGTGCATTCCTCTGAATACGCAAATAATTATTTTCACCACCATATCTTGTAAAGCGTTCCTGAATTGAATTGAATTGTGGGGTTTAACGTCCCAAAACCAACATATGATTATGAGAGACGCCGTAGTGGAGGGCTCCGGAAGTTTCGACCACCTGGGGTTCTTTAACGTGCACCCAAATCTGAGTACACGGGCCTACAACATTTCCGCCTCCATCGGAAATGCAGCCGCCGCAGCCGGGAATCGAACCCGTGACCTGCAGGTCAGCAGCCGAGTACCTTAGCCACTAGACCACCGCGGCGGGGCTGTAAAGTGTTCCTGTTGACGTCCTAGGAACCTCAATACAGTAACTACCTTGGATCTCTAATTGCAGACTTTAGTATCATTTTATGATCTTGTTTTGCATGCTAACATTCATCAATAATAAAATAATTCAATGATTGTCTTATAACTTTGTTTCTTAGGGGCGCATCGCCAATTTATATACGTACAAATTTTGTGGACATTGTTAGCCGTATTACACTATTTGTTCTCTATATATGGGGTGTCCCATGTACCTTTAGCCAGAGTTTAAAACTATGCTGGAACAAGTCATAGCAAAGCGACCAAATGCATGTCGCTCACCATTGCCTGAAGTTAGTAAGACTGTTTTTGTGTTCTTATGTATTGTTTAATTAGTTATGTTTATTAACTACCTTTTGAAGGAACAAAGATAGATAAAGAGTTTCATTGAGAAAGATGTAGATCAGTTTGCAAAACGTCCAAATAGATAGTTTTGAACTTTATATCTGTTAAGTATTAGTGTTTTCCTGCTAATTACAAATGCCAGCGAAATACAAAAAAATACCACGTGACAAACCCGCTCGTGCGCCAGTGTGCACGGTGATTCTAGTTCTCTCTAACATTCCGCGTAAAAACGACCATAGCATTGGCCCCATTTTGCTGTCTCGGCAGGGCTGCAACGATGGATGTGGCTTTACTATGAACATGTTTTGCTATCGGGCACAAAAACGATAACCGCTGTGACTGCTTATCACTGTCGCGAACCGTTGTGAGAGAAGCGTATCGTTCGTGCGCAGAACGTTATGGAGCACTAAAATCATCGTGAGCACTGACGCGCGAGCTGATTTGTCACGTGGTATTGTTTTGTATTTCGCGGGCGTTTGCCATTAGCAGAAAAACACTATTACGTAACAGATACATAGTTCAAGACTATCTACTTGGACGTTTTGGAAACCGATCTACTTCTTTTTCATTGAAATTTTTATCCATCCTCGTTCCTCAATTACTAGTTAATTAAACAGATCTGATAAACAATATTCGAGAGCACAAAAATAGTCTGACTAACTTCTGGCAACGGTGAGCAACATGCATGTGGTCGCGTCATAATTACGTGTTACGGCCTATTTTTTAACTCTGGCTAAAGTTACGTGAGAAACCCTGTGTAACATAAAAAAATCACTGGCTTTGGCAGAGTGGCTGCCAGATTGCCTATTCGAGCTCTCATATATTTCTATAAATAAATGCCGCGTTGACAGGTGTGAGTGACAAGACACCCAGTGTACATTTATTTCTGCGACACAAGAAATAGTGTGACACACCAAACAAAATTGTGGCTTCAATACTAGCGAAACATGTTCGCAGTGAAGGGAAAAGGGCAGAATAGGAAATAGCCTCTCTTAATTTGCATAAGTCGTTAAGTCAGACAGGAATATTGAGCTCTGCTTAGTTTCAGGTAGAGCCAAGAACCACGCATCTCCCCAATATGTACGTATGCCCAAAAGAAAACTTGAGGGGAAATCATCTTCGCTGACCCAAAAATCAAACTACCAGAGATTTGCCGCCGCAAAAATATAAATCTACACTGCGAAAGAAGTATGTAAAAAAACATGGTAAATATTGTTTCTATTTTCAAGACAGTGTGTACAACTCCGTATGCACCGAGGCATTATTCTTTCTCGTATGCGCCTTTTTTGGGAACTCAAAAAGCACAGATATAACAATAGTCAACGACTCTCGCTGCTTTGGCGTGGCCTAATAAATGGTGACACTGAAGAAATATATGTACAAAGTATTTTAATGGCTACGTACTAAAGAATTTCCTAGTTTATGCAGCAATGCCGCGCACACCATAACAGCCCAGACCTATGCCCAAACGCAGTTAATCTTTATTTATATTGAAAAATGTTGCTCAGGTTTACCTCTCACCTAATGAAGTACATCTTCTTAAACTGATTTAAGTGTTGAAGTTGAGGCTAAGCAGTATTTTTTCTTCATACGTTATGCTGAACTGAAAGCAGAAGCGCAAATATGAGCTACTCCTCATAATTGCTGAGATTTGAGCGGTATTATCAGGGGACAAAACAAAGTAACATATGTGATAAATAAAGCTTACATAGCTTAGCTGATAAAATCTCCAAATTTTGGTATTTGTCATGCTATCTAGCTTGAAAGTTGTGAGATCTTGAAAAGCTAAAACTCAGTAAAATTACGAGAGTCTACTTACAGTATAGATCCAAGTCTTCAACTGGAGCTCTGTTGACGGTTGCCGTTCGTGGCGGTCTCCTATATATGTAGATCGTCCAATCCATCATAAGTAAGCAGGTGAAATGGAATATGTCCCAACAGGCGGGTTTCTCCATTAGGCGTCCCTGCAATGAAGGCGAATTCAAGAAACAAGAACATAGTGACCGCTGAGTGACAGGAAAGCGTGATCAATAACGCGTGCGTTGGTAAGCTCTTGGAGACAACCGCGATGACATGAATGAAAAAAAAAGTAAGGGTAAGCTGTCTGGACGTTCTGGCGCTTACACTGCCATCGGATCCGACAAAGTGAACGGCGTCAAGATAAGTGTGCCTGCTTCTTATAGGACGACAATGTTAAGGTCTCCGAAGGACAAAAACGTGCAACGCTGGTTACTATTAGTATGGCCATTGTATTATCATCACAGAAACACGTCATGCTTTGACCTTTAGAGGACCTAATAAATGTCTTTTTGGTCATTACGCAGTAAACTGATTGCAACAAATCCTGTAATGGCTGTTAAATTGATTTAGTGTAGGTGCCACATTGATGTAATGCCATGGCAGACATATTGTGGCTGAATGATAAAATCTTTTAACAGTGAAGCTATCCTTAGTCGAAGATTTTATGCCCACACACCGTCATATATTGTAGACCGCAGTGAAATTTACCCAAAAAAAGCGCGAAAACTGCGCTACGAATATGTGCTTCTCCAAACCCCACCCTGTCACTATACTCAATGCTGCCACAATTCACAACTACAAGCAATACTTCTCTCTTCACTCCCACTACACCCACAGCTCACCAGTACACCACTACTCTCAATTTATCATGCAGTTAACGTCACGTCATCATTTCGCTCCCACTTCATCTCACTTCATTCAACCAATTTGATTCTACATCATTCAACCACACTGCACACCATCTGCTTCACTCTTTCATCAGTGTCCACAAAGTTGAGCTGGCAGATTTTTTTTCTAATGTTTATATCTGGGTCTGCGCGCGATTTTATGAAATCTGTTCAATTAAAGGTTGTTGCCCATTTCAGTTACTCCTTCTTTCACACAAAAAGTAGCGTAATGAAAACAAATAACAATGAAATAATGCGACTTCACGCCCCAAAAATTCAATTGAGAAAAGTCTGCGCATCAACACAAGAATGTCCACCCGTGTACAACATTCTTCACTCACAAGATACACAAGAAACGTTGGAGCCTTACAGAATAGTTGATCTTACAGTATTTTATAGAAGGTAATCGCACAACAATCTCTGGTAACTTGCCCAAACTTTGCACAAAGCTCCTATGAATCACGAGAAAAAACTCCAGACATGTGGCCAGATATGTCTAGCAATAACTAGCGATGCGAACAATAATTGAGAACTTGAATATTTATCTTTCTGATATTCGTTATTCTTTAAAATCCTACCCTCGCAAGTAACGCATAACGTTGAGTCAACGTGGTTTAAATGCCACGATTGTGAGGCAACGTTAGACAGTAAAATATAACATTGCATCGACGTTTATAGTATTACGTTGCCATAACAGTGTTTTTTTTTTTGTTGTAGCAACATTCAAACAGTCACGTTGTCCTAACGTGATGCTTTTACTGAGGCAGCAACTTTAAAGCTATCATCTTGCCCTAACGCGAAGTATTTATTGTGGCACCAACAATCAAATAATCACATTGCATCAACATTATATATAGACATCAAGCCCATGTTTAACAGGGAACGTAGAAACAACATGAAGACCATAATCACTGAACATACAATGCCACACATGAGAACTTTTTCAACGTCGAGTACTCATTTGAATAATGGCTGTTAGTGGCTAGTTAGTGTGGTTGAGTAAGCAATAGAAGAAGCACGAAGAACATAGACAACAATTCAGCCTATGTTCTTCACACACTAATCCTTCTAAGACTCTGATTTCTTTATAAAGCTTGAATCTGTGTTTTAATTTATTTATTTGTTTGACAATACGCGATTGCCGTAGAGCAGGAGACGAAAAATAACAACATGAACCACCTTACTAGGCCTCTATAGCTCATCACTATACATTCTTCACACAGTGACTGCATTGGAAAAAAAGAAAACACAAGAACAAAATCACAGCGTGAAAAACCTTTCGTTGCCCTTTATGTCTGTAGCTGGATACAATAAAGACAGTGAATTCATATGTGAGAAAGAGATGTGCAAGGGCAAGCCTTTAGGACCCCTTTAAAGGGGTTCAGACCCCAAATTTTTAGGCTACAAAAAGCCTGGTGTAGGCAGGCTTCATCTCAACATGTATGCATGCAGACTTGAAAAAGACAAATTACCTGTATAATTTAAATATTACTGAGTGGTTGTAAAAATAGCATGCCAACCATTACATTATGAATTCAGCAAGCAGTTGTGAAATCAAACTGTGCCTGAAATATGATGCATCACCGTAATATTTTTAAAGAATGGTTTAAGAATAAACACACAAGAAACATATCTACTAAAACGGTGCATACCTGCTTACAGGATGCAAGGCAACAGCCATCACAAACCCTACGATTCGCAAAAATTATGGAAGTGGAACCAATGACAACAATGGGCCAGAAAACCGTTGTTTCCCAGAGCCCTTACTCCTCGGAAACATAAAAACAATGTCGTGATTCGAGCAAAAAATATAAACTGGAAAATCTGTGACTGGATATAGTAATAAAGTAAAATCACGTTCGAGAGAGAGATATGGTATGAATAAAAGCAGGGAGGTTCACCGTAAAGCAAGTATCTTGTTTGATAGCCTGCACTGGGGAAAGAGCATGGAAGACAGAAAAGTAAGGATAATAAAATGAGAGAGAAAAATAGAGCAGGAGGAAGCAAAAGCAGACACACACACACACTAAAATGTCTCAAACGTTCCACGAGGCGGGTGGAATACAGAAACTTCAGGAGAACGGTCGAACTCACAATAAATAATTACACACGCTGAGCTCTCAGACAAAAAAGACTGCCCATTCTGGTTTGAAACTGCCTTGACAACTGTTTGCAATACTCAAGTATCTGATAGCATCTGTGACTGATGAAAATGCGATAGAAGAGCTATTTCAGGTGTTCTGCACTTACACCTTTGTGGGGAACTCGAATCGTCCAGAACGCATTTCACGTCTTCTTTAGAACTGTGTCTAAGTAAACATCAGCCAAAAATAAACAATAGTAAAAAAATTTGCTAATCTGTTACTTCCAGAGCTATTACTCAAGGAACACATACAGCAAACACTAGGCCTGCAGAACACAGTGTCTGCAAGCAAATATAAACATCAAATTTCACCACGATGAAAGGCCACCCTAATACACAAGGATGATCACTCGCAATACAAAGATGAGACATCAACGTAGAGAAAGCAGGCCTCCTGAACACACTGTGTTGTTGGTAAGAAAAAGCGAAATAGAACTTGCAGCATTGTGAAAGGCCACAGTAGTCTGCACGCATTATCACCCACATCAAATCTGGGAGACGCCAACGAGGAGATGCCAAGCCTGCAGAGCACACTATGCAGAACACAAAGAACACCAGACCACTGCAGTAATCTTGCCATTTGTCCAAGACCTGGTTTCAGCTTCCCTTTGACTGTAAGACTTATGTCAGCCTGAACAAATACATCTACCGATTGTGACTCTCATGCTCGAGGAGGTCCAGCCAGAAGACACACAACTGAGGCGAAGCTGCTAATGAGATGCCATTCTTTCTTCACATGACTTCAAGAAGCTTTCTATGTAGTAGATGTAGAAGTAGCACCACATTTATGCAGCTATGTAGATGACTGATGCATTTGGGTAACTGCAGTGTTTTTCTCCTTGGTCACAACACAAGCGGGTGAGGCACATGTCACAGGTGTGCTCCTTTATTCTTGGCATGCCACTATGCATTTCAATGCTGTAAGATCTGGCCATTACTGGTCCCACAGCAACGCTTTTTCCTTATGACACTCCAGGCGTGAACAGTTGCAATTTTAACGGTGTCTTTTTTTTTCTCTTTTGTCAATGCAGCTCCCATGCTTTCTCTTTGTAGTAGTTCTTCATTCAGTCCATTTTTTACCAAGTCTGCTAGTGCAGGGTAGGTTTTAGGGCAGCATGTTTGTTGTCGACAGAGTAGGTATGGTAGCCTGTCAGCAGTTAGGCGGGCTTCCCTTTCTTTTCCAGCGTGGTGTACATCTGTGGTCCAAAATGCATATGTGCAGCTCATAAACAACTTCCTAGGCTTCCTTGACTAAACGCTTAGCTACATTTAGCACACTGTGAGCTATTCAATTAGACTGAGGGTGATTTCAGCTGGAAGTCGTGTGTAAGCTGTCACTGCTTGGTGAACTTGACGAGCTCTGTACTTAACAATTGTAGACTATTGTCGCTAGTTCACACAAATGGTGACTCATACGTGGGAGGTCTGTTGTCTGATCATCTTGTCGCGCTGCTGCTTATTGCTATATTCATGCACTTCTAGGATTGAAGCAGTAGAAGGAGAGCCGAGATGTTGTTTAGCTTGCCGCTTTAAGCAGCGAAGGGTGTGGCAGGTATAAGCTTTGTTGCGTGTCGGGGTACAGTGTGCATCAAGCGTCTTATGTACAATAAAAAGGTTAATTTCTGGTTACGGAGTCGTCTCCCTTGGAGGACCGAAGTCTAAACTGTTGTTGATAATGGCAAAGGTGCGCTGGCTGCGGAAAGTTGGAGGATCCCCGTCCGTTTGATAGAAGCAAATTCTTGACTTTTAACGGTGAAATAAAGCTGAAACTGCTTTGTGAACAGCATCCAGTTCGCCCACAAATCGCCCATCATGCACTTACGTGCTCAGATGTCTCTGCTGTGGACGTTATTTTGCGTAGGAAGATCCACATCAAGTGAGCTCACTGATGATGCTTAGCTGTTGCGTGGAGGTACTCTGCTCTTGTTACTAGAGGTTGTCGTTATCAGTAATATTTGAACGACTCCTCACACTTGACTAGGCCACCCTAACTTGATCCCTTTGACTGAGAATGCGC